AGAGAGAGAGAGAGATTATACTTTTTATAAAGTTCTAAAAATGCAAAATAAATATTGCAAAAATGGAACATACGTGAAAAGCTATATTCATAGAAGATTGTGTATACGATCGCCTCCTGTCTCTATGATTTAAAGAACCTATGACATTTACATTATGACTATTTGGAAATGTCACGCCAGGCCTACTTAACACTGGAGAAACATTCACATCTGAAATAATTTGCTTTTATGATTCACTATATTAAATAATTGTTACTTTAAAAAAAAATTTTTAATTAATATAAAGAGAATACAAAAAAAAACTTAAATAATGATCAATCAATGTGGCTTAAAATTAGTTTATACGCACTATTACCATGTACACTTCGTGTAAATTCCATAAAGAGTTCCTCAGGTAGGCCACAAGAGGCTGGTGCTTTGGATGCACATTCTCGGTGGCATCTGTATTTACAATCCTTGCATTTTAAAATGTTCATAAACATCGATTTTTCACAATAGTCACATATCGTCATCACATTAAAAGATTTGGTAAAACGATGAGTGATTGTATGACCTATGCCGCGAAGCACAGTAGGAGTAGTACATGGAGATGTTGGCACTTCAAGATTTACTATCAAAAATAAAATAAAAATGATTAATCTATTTATAAAACATTGTACTAAAAACTTTTCTAATTTTATGTACCTGTTTCTTTAAGACTGCTATCATCAGTTTTTGCATTTGTGGTACAGATTGATAATGGTGGTGATTTAACAGGTAATTTATTAGATGGTTTAACAGGTGATTTAATAATAGGCGATTTAATAGGTGATTTAACAGGTGACTTAACAGGTGATTTATTATGTGATTTAATAGGACTATTATAACATGGCAGGAAACTTTCTTCTCTTCCAGAGTCTATTGTACCAAACGAACTTGGTTCTGTTGGATTTCTTACAGAAGAATCACTTTCTTTCTTAGAAGAATTACTTTTAAAACTAAAAATATGAATACATAATGTTATAGTATATTTCAAATAATAAATATATTTCATTAAAATTAAAATTATAAAATTATCACAATAAAATTAAAATATATATAACACCAAATTAATAAAAAAATTATATGATAAAATATTCTAGTTACCTAGATGATATATCATCATTATTAAGTTGAATATTATCAGGACGACTTGCTAAGTGTGATTCGTGAGACTTTGACTTGGCTAACGGAAATACTTCTCCTATTTCCTCAGGTTGTAATATGTTATTTTGCACACCCATGAAATATTTTCTACGTGGAGGAGGAGTTGATGGAAATTTAAATTCTATAATAAACAAAATTTATATAACAAATAAGTTATTAATATTTCAAGATAAATTGTATATCAAATTTTCAGTAAAATCTTATCACATTAAAGTTGTTTTATGATCTTTGAAAAAAAAATATAATAATGAGCATAGAAGTTCTTTATACTTACCATATCCTTGCTTTGGTAATGAAGGGATATAAGAAGGACTAGATAATATTAAAGAGGCTATAGAAGCTGACGGTAACATATCATTGTTCAAATTGTTGTTGTTATTGTTATTATTATGATATGGAATGCTATTTTCTGATGGAATGGAACGCCGTGCAGTACGAAACTGAATTGGTTTAGGGAAGACTTCATTGCGTAAATGATAACTATTCCAAGAATCCCAGTATAAATCCAAATCATCACATACATTTTCCATACCTTCTTTCATCATAATATCTAATAAAAATGCAAAAATAAATAAAAACATGTGCATGCACATGTATCATGTATTGTATCATGTGTTATATCATGTATTGTTTTTTTTCACAACATTAAATTTTATTTACCGATGCATTGTCGTAAACAATGCAATGCTTTGCAGAGCCTACGATGTTCCTCTTGATAATGTATACTTTTTTCATTTAACATGCAGCTTAATTCATGTTCAGACTTCTCTTTCAAGGCCTCAAGAGTATTAACGTGGGAACAAACCATCTGAAATATTATAATAATTAAGGAAAAAGAATTAAAGTTTGCATGAACTCATATTACTGAAATTGATTTTTGCTAAATCGAAATTGAAGTAAAATAACAAACAATTCATACAAGGCAATATCTTTATCGTATATATCGTTACCTGAATTGATTCCTGGGTGAGACCAACTGTCCGCAACCATAGTTGCAATGATGGATATTGATTTATCTCTGCTGGTATTGGGTCAGTCAATGTAGCCTTTGTCACAAGTTGTGTGGAGTATAATTTTATTAATTTTGTCTATAAAAATGTTCAAATATATAGATATAAATATATATATTCAAAACGAGTACATACTTTGTACCCAAATATAAATTATGTAATAAAAAATAAAAATTATTGTAATCACACATTAATATTGATATTATAATATAAATTTGAATTATGATTTTATTTGAAATAAATATACTTATGCTTAAAAACAAATTCTATATAGAATAAAAATTATCAAATATATTGATATCAAGTATTATAAATTTTAAAACCAAATATTTTTATTATTAAAAGATTTTAAATAATCATCATATTATAATCTGAGCAATTGTAAACAAGTTTTAAGCAATATTATGTTCTTCAATGGCATAACATTGTCGCAAATTTTTTAATCGTGAATTAAAAACAATATTTATTCAAGATAAGCATTCAATCACCCAAACACAAAAAAATTATACATTTTAGAATAAAAATAAAAATTATGTATGTTAAATATCATAATTTTGGAAACTATAAACTTTTACTACAAAAATATCTTAAATAACTTTGAAAATATATATATATATTATTGCTTTAATCCCAAAATTTATAAATGAATTCCAAATGACATTATCTTCTGTACCTTCCAAAATAACACAAGAGTAACACTAGAGATTTCTTATTCACAAACTGGAAATGACAGAAGAATATTCTTTAGAACAAAATATAAATTGACGCTGCTACATCACGAAACATGAAAAGATAAGATTTTTCGGCGTTCCTGCCGATGGAATCCAGAAATTCTCAAGATTCTAAATGACATCTGAATGACGGCAAGGCTGTAACTTGTTAACAATTAACAGAGACACGCCGAGCCGCCCGCGACGACGATCAGCGTCAATGGACAAGTCGATCTTGATTTTCACACGCGAGGTCTCGCCGAACAGCTCCAGGGCTCCCTCACCTCCAGGTCTTTTATCTCCTCGTGAGTGATCTCCGAGGTAGAGGCGCACTGGGTCCGCATACTGTCGAGAATATCGACAGAAACTTCAATCCTGATTTGCGTGATGTCCAAGATACGTTGTACCTCCAACACTTTCCTATAGGCTGCCATTCCTCGCGCGATGACCAGCCCGACGCTCGGATTCTCATCAACATGGGCCCTCACTTGACGGGCATAACACCAAGAGCGAAAGAACAGGCGTTTAACACCTCGATCCGCACATGTTTACCACTGGTGCTCCACCGTATAACCAAACCACTTATCAACATTGACAACCATCTTGGCCGCCTCTCGATGACGTCAATCGATGCTGCCCGGCTGTCCAGGAGCTCGACCGATCTGCACGCTCATTCGCGTAGCTCGAGCGTTCGCAAACTTCCTTCTAATTCACGTTTGTAAATTGAACTTTTACTGGACTTTGATTTGGACTTTTTTTTCCCTTTACGTTTATTTATGGCCTTTCTTCTTTTTGGTCGAGCTTCTTGCACCGTTCGCCGTTTCTTTTTTCCCTCTGCGTTGAAAAGAAAGAGAGGAAAAACTATATGGTATAAGAAGTTCAGCTAAAAAGTTCAGCTAAAAAGAATAGGCAATTACATAGGAGAGTGTTTTTTTTAAAAAATTTTTTTGTCGCGATCTATCCCCTTATAAATAAGAAACGCAAAATATAAGTATTCGCGACCCCTCACGTTTCCTTACAGAAATCTAATTTAATACTGGCCGATATGATACTGAAAATTATTATTTATTTTCATATTTATAATGAAAATATACATACGTATGATTAATTATATATGAGCAATTTTTTTCTCATTTCTTTGAATGTAACTTTTTGTAAAAAAAAATGCAAAAATTATTCTTTTTCTGTCTTCTCATTATTATACCATTTTTATACCATATTATACCATTATTATATCATATTTTTCTTACATCAAACAGAAATTTTATAATCTTATACCAGAAAAAAATTAATATGAACATATAAGACCTAATATGGACATATTTTGCATATAATTATTAATTAATTTATTATATATATATGCTTATATATTATTTTATATAATATATTATATAATATAATTATTAATTAAATAATTTATATATATTTATGTGTTCTTACATTAAAATTTTTTCAGAGTGTATGTATATATATATATATATATATATATATATATATATATATATATGTATATATAGTGTGTGTATAATACACATATCACCACACACACATACACACACACACACACACACACACACACACATATTAATGACGCTATTTTTAAATGAAAAGCATTTAAAATTGACCAATTAATGTCCATTTAATGTAAATGTAAATCAATTCTAATTTTATATAATTTATTTTACTTTTTCTTTTTGTAATTCTTAGAACTAAAAAAAGATAAAAAATAAATAAAATCGAGATTAAAAGTAATCGAAATAGATAGAATCAGATATGGATTCTTCAAAATTCACGCATTCATGTATGAAAGAGAAAGAGGGAATAAGTGCGGAAGTGCAAGCAACACGAACACACCTATGATCGCAGCCATTCCTCGAATTTGATATGGCCGTTCCTGTCATTTTAAATTTGAGTTAAACTGTATACATGATTGTGTCGACAGGAACTTGAGCAAGTTTAACGCAGTTTTTCTCAATGAAATATGTCAATACACGTTACCGTGACTGGGAATCCTGTGAATATACGTCGTGGTAGAATGGTGCTGTCTGATTTGGATCAAATCAAGAAAAATGAACGTGATCGTCGACGAAGGTTACGCCTGGAACAAGTATGTGCAATTGTTAAAAACTTTCAAATTTGATTTATTTTAAAGGAATGAAACATGAGTTTTTAATCCTTTTTGATTGGAATCTATATAAGTAAATAAAAAATTAACTTCTTATATGATAGTTATGCTCAATTATTCTCGATCATGCAATGCTTGACAATGTAAACAGTCAAATTTTAACATGAGATATTTTATTATATTGTGTTACAGGTTCGGCAGCAATCAAAGGAGATATCAAATCGACTTTTAGAACGGGCTAAAAAGATAGCGAAGGAAGAACTTAGTAAATTAGAAAAAGATGGAAAATCTGAACTTAAGCAAATGCATGATAGAAAAATTATGGACATACAGCAGAAATATCAGGAAGATTTAGAAGACATCGGTCAAGCTCATGCCTCTGCTGCTTTACAACCAGATGTAAGTGCAATAATAGAAGAAGAGGGAAGAAAAGATAGAGCTGTGGCCTTACAAAGAGGAAAAGATGCAATGGAACGTGTGAAAGAAGCAAAACAGAAGGATGACGTTGAAGCAGCTCATCAAGAAAGATTGCGTAGAGTACGAGAAATGGAAAATATCAGAGCTGCGATGATAGCTAAACTTCCAAAATCATCAATTGAAGAATGTGATAAAATAGAAATAAATTCTCCTCAAGATAGTGCAAATAAAGAAATTATGCATAGCATGCTAACTCCAAAAAAAAAGAGTCAAAAAGTTCTTTCAAAAAAATCATCTAAAAGGATAAAAAAACCTGGTCCAAAAGAACAGCAAAAAGTATTATCACCAAAACCAGGTCCTTCAGGATTACAAAAAAAATCTGCTGTTCAATCTCATGAGTTATTTCCGAAGAAAAAAGTAGACAAATATAAATCTGATCATTTTGAACATCTTATTGATAATGATGAGAGTGATGAACAAATACCACGAAGAACAATACCGATAAATACTGTACCAATTAAGCCTGACAAAATAAAAAAGTACAATCCACAAGATTACACACAAGATATATCGGATAATGCAAGCAATATTAGCAGTAGCAGTTCTACTTCAACCAGTGATGATTCCTCATATTTTTCTGACGCCACAGAACAAATTGTCTGTGATAAAACACCGAGAATTCCAACTTCAGTAGATAGCAAAGTACGATTATATGATCACAATATGCATCAAAGATATGTCTATGACAGGCCTCTTGGTATGGTTGAAAGAATCGACATTGGAAATGAACCAAACGCGATAGAAGCAGCACGAGCAATGAAAGATTTAGAGAATGCAGAAACGAATATGTCCAAATGTCGTAAATTAAGTGCCCAACGTCGTGGCGAAGATGCGATTCTACGGGAAAAAGTACGGAGAGATTATCAGATGCTCTTACAGAATTTAGATCATCTTGCACAGGAAGAGCGCAAACTAAAAGCTAGTCAAATTCAACCCTGTGTAGAGGAAGATACACACATGAGATTACACCAGAGAAACAAATGTCAACGAGAACATGAGCGAAAGTTGAATCGTGCAGCTAAAAAGATTTTTGGTACAGACTCTATACCGGCTCAGCACACTCATCTTACAGAAAGAGTCGTTACTTTATCAACACAGAAAAAGGATGACATACCTCATTCTACATGGCAAGAGTCTCATCTCATTGAAGAAGAAGATGTTTGTCACACACAGCAAGATAAAGATAACGAAATGTCACGTGAAGAACAAATATTGGATATGTTGAAAAAAGTCGAGAGGCAAAAAAGATTGTTACTACAAGAATTTGGCGCGAGTTTACCAGATAATATATTTAATATCAGCATGAAGCCACTGTTTGAAGATAAAAATTCGATAAAGGCACCAGAAACTAAGAATACTGCTAAATCTTTGTCACCTGAAGTTAAAGTTATAAATATGTCTAGTAATGATGAATGTACTAGAAACGATCGTAAAGTGAAGAAACCTGATAAATCACCCACGAAAAAAATTGAGATTGCCATTCAGACAGCACTGGACAAAACAACTCCAGCAGAGAATAAGAGTGTACAAGTGGAATTATCTCAAGAAGAGACACATATATCATATTTCAGCAAAGGTGCTCCTGCACGAATACCTCATCCGATTGAACCAAAAATTACTATCATTACACCAGAATCAGATAACAGTAGTAATGACTCTACAAGCTCTGATATTAGCGGGATGGTTATTGAAATTGATAAAAAAGAAGTGATCGTAACACCTAAAAAAAGAAAAAGTAGCGTAAGAGTATCGAAGCGAGCATCGCCTCGAATTTACCAAAAGATTCGCTCAACGTCCGTTAGTAAAGCAACATCACCTATAAAGAGATTTTCGAGATCTCAATCAATTTCTCGTCTGACGCCTCAGAAGAAAACGAAATGCTTAGATACAGCTCCAGACACAACTCCAGACACAGCCACTAGAAGAGTTGATATACATATGAGTGAGTCTGCAATTAATGATGAAACAGATCCGTCGCAAGAAACGAGGGTATCGATAGATGCCAGCGCAGAAAGCTCACAAACACTTTCAGGTGTGAACGATCAAGATCAATGTGGTAAACCATATCGGGTTCGAACTCAAATGAAAAGATGGATTCGGATAAAAGATACATCAGATACGTCAACTTCATTTGCGAGTCCACCGCCAATAAAGCCTAGATCAATGTTTGATGCCTTAACTAATGTAACGCCGATCTTAGAGATGCTAGATTCTCCAGCACCTGAAGAATTAAGAAGATTACAACAAGAAATCAGTCCAGTTTCTACACCAGAAACTCCTTCACCACGTACAATGATGATGCCTTCCAACATTCCACATTACGATCGAATCAGCAGAATGCTTAGATATAATTTAAATGATTGTCAAACCAAGACCAGGAGATCATCGACTCAACATGATCAATCTACTTTAACAGATCCGTCAGATTATCAACAGGAATTTGAAATATCGAAGATTTGTGCTCCTTCACAAGAACCTTCACCATCATCCAAAATCTGTATATGCAAAAATCGCAAATGTAAATTGTTACATATGAAACTTGACGATATTCATGATTACGCATTGAAAAATTGTCCTGAAATATTGCAAAAATATGAAGATCTACAAAACTTGTGTGCAGAAAGAATAGCATCTTTAACTGATCTTATTGAAAAAGTACGAAATGAACAAAAAGGTAAAGAATTATTTATTTAATATGTCTTTATATATCTACATATATCTTAATCTTAATTCTTTGTAACATAATTTTTCTACTGCTGCGAGCGGAGTTTCATTTTCCGAGTTCAATTTTAATTACAGAATATGTATAAAAATAATGATTAATATATAAAAATAATGTTTTGTTAACACATTTAATCTGATATATATGTAAATTGTTAAAATTATTCTGTAATTATATACATACACACACATATATACACATATATATATATATATATATTATATATATATATTACATATATATATATATTACATATATAGATCAGATTAAATGTGTTAACAAAATATTATTTTTATTTAAAATGGAATAGCATTATACATTTATTGTAGGTATGGATCTTTCGTTAATTAGTCCAAGTGATGAAACTAGTTTAATGCAACTATCTACACCAAAACCAGCACGTAATGATACACAAGCAGTACGTAGACTGATTGACAGTATAGAAGCAATTCATGCCCAACTTGCAAAAACTCTTCTTGAATCACAGAGAATTATGCAAGGAAGCCAAGCAATTTCAAAGGATGAAACATCATGCGATGCAAAAATACAGGCGATCACTTCTATTCCCCGAAGTAAATTAGTAGATACGATTAAAACACATATACAGGAATCCAAATTAGTAGAAGGCAAAGTAAAGCCAAAAATTATAAGCAATGAAAGAGTAAATATACAACTTAACCGATTTAAAATGCAGAAAAAACCTCAAACAATCCCGGCACCAAAAATGTTGGAGCGTAACTCTTGGCCTCCGTGTACACGTTCTCTTCACGAAGAAGAGATAATAGAGAAATTGTCAAACGAAATCTTGGAACAAAGTAAAAATTTGGACAAAGCTAGCATTGCCTTTGCAGCATTGAAAGAAAATGATGAAATACAGCATAAAGTGTTGTCTTTTAAGGATATTAAAAAAAATGCTTTATTAGAACACGAAAAGGATAATAACATTGCAAAGAAATCACTTTTACATCAGAGGTAAACAACATATTTTTCTTTATATATATATATATATATATATATATATATAT